GGAGAGTCCCCAAAGTCTCCTTTTTCATTTTCTGTGGTAGCCAAATCTCCATTTACATGGAGAAGAAAGACACACCCATCCACACATACCCATTTGACAAAAATAATTACAGCGGGCAGTTCTCTGTCTTGTTCAGCTATGCAGTCATTTCCCTCATAGCTATTATTACACAATTAAGCCTCAGAAAACCGTGGTGAGGACAGTAATGGTCCTCTGTTGATCACTCTGATTTTTAATAAGAGGCAGCCACTCCCAGGGTGAAACATTCACAGTACACCCACTACTCTGTGACAATCTGGGACAAAGGAATAAGAATTCATAATTGTGCTGAACCTCCATGAATAGGAAGAGCAGGAGGAGACAGAATTTGGCTGAAACCTCAGTTCCAGGACCCTATTCATGCACAAAGACCTGTGGGATATTAAGGGAGAAATACACCATAATTATAACTTCATATTTTTGAGTCACCAGAGAATTAGCACCTGCAGCAGCCCAATGACTTCTCCACCATTTTGTGGTATTAGCTGAGGCTTGAGTTGAGAACAAAACCAGTACTTTGTTTACCACAGCAGCATTTCCAGAGCTGTTTCCTGTTGGTTGTTCAAGCACTCTTTGTCAGGAGCTTTGATCATGTGAAGAGGTGACATTATATAAAAATGTTTTTTCACCTGTCGGAGAGCTTCCAACTTATGTCAGGTGCAAATAAATAGGGGGCCCTGACAGCATCCAGAGAGGAATGTGTCTGAGCACATGTGGGAAATGCCCTTTTTTTGCCTCAATTGTCCTGAAAGAAAAAGACCAGGGGGATAGGATGTGCCATGAGCAACTACCAGTGCTCTTTGCACTGTGAATCCTCTGAGAGCAAGATCTGTGGGGCTAAGAGTTGTTTTTATTTTAAGAACAGACTCAGGTTCTGGAATTGGCTTCCACTACCCTTGTGAGCTTGCAAACGGCTGTACAAGATATGAAGAGGGGAATCACGTCAAAAATCCCTTTCTGTTTGGAATATTTGTTACTCATATATTTTTCTCTATTGAACAGACTCTTCAACCCCTTTTTATATTTTCCCCTTTGCCTTTTAACAGGTGTTTTGCTTTCTGGAGGTTTTGTTTGTTTGTTTGTTTAATTTTCCAGATAGCTCTCTTCATACTCTATAGGCTTTTCCCCTCCTCTCTTGTCTCCTGTTATGGCTCAGACATCATAACAAAATTTTAAATACCTTCTTGTTCAGTCCTCTTCACTTTTGATCCTATTATCAGTCTCAACTCATAGCATATTGAAAAAAAGCAACTCGACCCTTTTTCTCTCTCCTCTTGCAGACTACTTTTATGGAAATGTATCTGCTTCACAAAAACATCCAACAGTCTGCAATTTCTCCTGAAATTAACCTAGAAAGTGTCCCAAAAAAACCCCAGATTCCTTTTTGTCAGTGCTAATCTTAAGTGCCTAAAATTCCTATCTCTGATGTTGGTGAATATTTCTTGGAACATTTCTGATATTTGAAATCACACAAGGCCCGGCAACTAGGAATTCTATACCTGCAGGAAAATATTGCTTTACAGTCAGAAACACATCTTTCCTTTTTAAACTAAGAGGTCTCAGGGTATTAGGTCTTATATCTATACCATTATTCGACATAGGAAATCAGTTTTGAGCATGTTCTAGAGCTTTATTTATTGTTCAGAAAGTTTTTATTCCCCACTCTTGTTTAAATTTTACTTTATTTTCCTCATGGATGGATGCATAGATTTACTTTACTTCAGGGTCTTGAATTTGTAAGGTATGAAAATGTCCCGAACTGTTTAAAAGCAATCTCTCAAAGACACTTAAATGCTTGTATTTTGAAAGAGAGGAAATTTATAAAAGGCAGGTTGCTGCCATGAAAACATGTTTCTGGCACTCTTTCCTAATCAATGGCTTTGTGAACCCTGAATTTGTGATGAAATATCCCTGCCCTCATCCTTTCCTTGGTCTGTCTTCAGTCCTTTTTTTATGTCAGGCTTCCCGACTTCACCTCTCCAGGGGAGAGGCAGGATTTCACAATTCTTTAATTTTTGCTGGGCTTTGGGACACAGTGTCTGACTTAGCTGTGCCAACCCAGGCAGTCTGAATGGATGTGCAGCTTTTATTTTAGAGAGTCTGTGAGTACTCCACTTCATTAAAAATAGAATGGTATTTAAATATTTAATCTTAAATGTGCAAACTTAAATATTTCAAATAAATGGAATTGAAAATAACAGTCTATATGCATATTTGTTCTGTCTCAAGCTTTCCCACCCATTCATGGGAGAGCAACCAAGCCTTTTTTCTCTGTGAACCACAGTACCATCTTGCATCCCCAGCCTGCTCAGACATAAATCTTGTGTGCTCTGAATCAGATCTCTTGATCTTTCCTGTGCCTTTTTCCCTATGCCTGCTTGGGATTTCTCCATTTTAGATGAGATGCATTTTTCAGACTGGCTATAGCGTCAGACTCTCCCAGGCCTCCAAGATGGACATTAACATTTTATACAACTCATTTGCTCCTGAGAGACACTCCCCTGTCAAACATTTTCTGCCTGTTTTTCTCGAAAGTAGATTTTTTTGAACTCACCTAGCTCAGGACCAATAGTCAACTCAACATATTGTATTCATAAATTATTACAGAGCAGTTCCACTTTCATCACAGCAGCTCTGTGACTACCTGCAGATCCAACTTCCAGAACATACTGCCTTGATTTATTTTTCAGGGAATCATCATTCCTTTTCCACAGGAGGGAGCTTTGGTGTTCTGGCCACCTATTTAAGCTGTATTTATATGTATTGGTTATATTTTGACAATGTTGGTACTGAGGATCTTCAATAGCATCAGCATGGCTCAGCCACAGAGTGCTGTAAGGAATGTCTTCCCTTGGATCAGCAAGGCACAAACACTTGTCTTTAATACCAACAAAGTGACTAGTCCCCATGATGGCACAGTCCCAAATTGATTTTTCCTGTTCTTCAAATTTAGCATGCTTTGTGCCCTTCCAGGGGACTGGGCCCCATGGAACATAAGAATTACAGTCTACACTTGGGTGGAAAAAAAATTTCACGTGGCAATAGCAAAGGCATTCTCCTCTCTGAGCCTGCAAAGAGGTTTCCCAGCAACAGCAACATTGTAGAGGTGCTATCAGATAAAACATCAAATCACAGCCCTGAGCACCTGCTATCATCAAGCCTCCCTTAGCACTCAGCACAAGATTGAAGGTGTTAGTTCCATTTTCCTGACCAGATTGCCCTGTGAAATTCAAATCCCACCTGCAGCTTCACTTTCTCTTAGATTTCTAGCTCCTGGTTTTCTTCATGCTGCTAAAAACCTGCCATTTTCCAGGGTTAAGGAAAAGTGCCTTGTGCAGGAGATATTTATTCATCTAAAGGAGTAAACAAAAGACACTTTTAGAAGTTAAGGTACTATTTGCCTTGGAAAAGGCAAATGGCTGTGATCAGCACCTCAATAAATTCCTATGCTTAATGCTGATGCTTCTTCAGGAATGTGCTTCTTTTGTCCTCTTTTACAGCAGAGAAAGAAAGTACAAGTGGTAAAACTACTGGAATTAGTTTCAGGAGGAAGGTTTCAATTTCAGGGCATTTGCAGATGCATGGAACAGCTTTGTGTCTACTGCCACATTTTCCTTCATCATTTCCTAGCTCTTGGTCTGCTCTGTGCCATAATTTAGCTGTTTTCAGAGAGCTTAGTTTAGACTGGCAAGACTCAGAAGCTAAATGAAAGTGAATCTTGAGCTAAACTGAGTGTCTGCTGTGGTGTGAATGAGAGAGAAAATGTCCCATCAAAGCCTGCATTAATATTTCTCATATATATGGTATATTTTATCCATATTTTGGATGGTTCAACACATATTACATGAGCTTTGCTCATAAGTCACCTCACTGATTAACCTATACATCATATTTTGGCAGCTGTCACATTATCAAGCCTGATCATTTGTAGAAATAATGTCATATGAACTGCTCAGTTCGAGGAACTGTCACTCAGTACAGGTTTGTCAAGTGTTTATCATGAACTGAAATGTATTTCTGATTAGCTGTGAGGGTTCTGTTGTAACAAGTGCTAAATAACAGTGATTGTACATCCAGCAAGTGCAAGTACTTGTATGTGCAAACCTAAGTTTTTGCATGCTCAAATAAGGTGATGTTCAAATTTGGCAGGCACATTCGTGGGTTTCTGAAAAATGTTACATTTTCAGCAGAAGAAGAACTCTATTACTGAGTTCTGAAATACCCTTCTTTTGAATGTTTGCTCACTCAAAAAATACAGACAAATTATTTCAGATGTATAAAGCCTGTTAAATGAATGGAGTATAATAAAAAGTTAGTACATACAAAAGTTTATAAAAAAGAGATGGCAAAATAATCTTGTAACTAGACTATGATGTATATGTTGTACATCATCGTGTTATAAATTTTAAAAGGGATTGGATTGAATCCAATTAAAAAGCTGAGAAAAAGGAGAAAAGGATGGATCAAATGAGTCTTGCAACTAAACTTTTTTCTTAATATTGCTCCAAAAATGCATCCACAGAAAGAAACTAGGTAACTGCTTTTTCCCTTGAGAAAAATCAACCCAATGAAAACATTTATTTGTAGCTCAATATTTTCTTCAAAAATATTAGAAGTGGTGGTGATTCTTTAAGAAAAATGTATAATTTTGTTACTTAAGCACAAGTAGTCAAAAAAATTGCATTAATTGAAGAAAAAAATTTGCCGGGGAAGTTGCTGGCCACTTTATCTCTGACCAATATCCCTAAGACCAGCATAGACAAAAGATGGTGAGGAAGGAGCTGCTGGGAGGGTGAGGGGAAGGGCCATGTCAGCAGGACTGTAAAATGCTGGAATCCAAAGTTGAGGTCATGGAGTGCAGAACAACACTTAAATCTTGGTGAGCTTGTGCTCAGCTGTGAAGTGTGAGAATATAAAGAAATCCAGGCCATGCAATTCTTAAGTACTGGTACTGTTTCCAGTAAAGTGCTCCAAGCAAAATAACGTAGGTCTTTAGGAAAGGAAGATTTCTAACTGTTGTAAAAGTACTGCAATATATTTTACGCCAGCCTTTTGCCACATTTGTTTTTTCCCAAATCAGGGTAATGGATAAGATATGGGAGATGCGGATAATGCGGATAAGCAGGGAAAAAAAATCAGGATGGGAGAGAGAACTTCCAACCTCTCCAATTTTCCAAATTAAAATATTTAGAATTCTTTAATAAAGATATGCATCAAGCAACACATTCCTTGACTTAAACTGTGCTAAGCTCTTCCTTGGTGCTTTTGTGATGTCACTGGGAGTAACTTGTGAACCAGGCTCTAAATCCAATAGATGGGTTATGCTAAGTACACATCCTGTCTTTTGAGATGGCTAAGGAAACAATGGAGAAAAAATATCTTTTTCACTAGTTCTATTAATCATGCTAAGAGAATAAAGATGAATACTTAAGGGATCATTTTTGAAGCTAGATGTCCAGATGATTTTGCAGCCTGATTTCTCCTAGATGCAGAGCACCCATCAATCAGGTTTAGACACAGAAGTCATTCACTGTTGTTATTAACAATACTAAAAATAACAAAACAAGGGGCCACAAGCAGAGCCTTTGGTATTTGACAACAATTAAAATTTAAGAAAATGAATCTTGAAATACCTTACTACCTATGATGAAACACACAAGATACTCAGAGAACAGTAAAATAGGTAAAAAGATGTTGCTCATTGCTGAACACTTATGCTACATTTGATCGTGAATTTGTTTGCTTTTTGGATATTAGGTGCAAAAAAGTGCAAAGAATATTTAATTAACTGTTACAGTACCACATTACAAAAAGTATTCTCTAGGCCACAAAGGCCACTGTTGATATAATTTATATTAAGATAAATGTATACATAAAATAGTTTTTCAATCTCCTTACATATATATACACACATATGTCTGTTTCTATATCAGCCTTGCAGAATCACGTTGAAAATTATCTAGGCCACAGAATTTTGTTAGGATAACAACGATGGGAGGGGAAAAAAACCTCACAGAGGAGAGTTTGTTCTCCTATTAAAAAAATTACTCATCCAGAGCAAAAGGAGGAATGAAATTCTGCAAGGCTGCTCTGTATTTATGGTGATGAAAATACAATCTTAAGCAGGGAGGATCAGAGTTCAGCATTACCAATCCTCTCTGGGAGAAAACATTTCTGCCTAGAGGCCATGAAAAACAACCTGAAACAGGGATTCAAAAGCTTGGGCTGGAGCCTTGATTTTTTTCCCTTTTTCCATTCTTTTATTTTCTTTTTTCCCCCTTATTTGTAAAGACTGTCTGAGAGATTGATTTTTTATGTTTATTGACTTGCTTGCTGTGTTCATAGGCACAGGAGGAAAGGTATAAAAGTGCCTCCTTCTTTGACTTAGATACACCTGTAATGTTAAGACCAGCCCTGCTTTTCTGGAGCAGTTTAAGACACTTAAAGGTATTTTTATCTGTCTTAGAGATCACTCAGTGGCATGGAGGAACTGGATCTTCAAGAACATATTTTGTGTCAGCCAGGTTAAACCAACTCAAAATGGTTCTTCAGAAGTTTGCCAAAACGACCTTTTCCCTTCATATCCAGATGAATTCTCAAAATATCTTTCATTATCATAAATCAATCTTCCTGTGTAGTTTTTCTCCTGCATGGCACTTCTGTAAAATGCTTCTTTTGGAAAACACTGTCTTCTCTGTTTTCTTCATATATATTGCAAAGATACAAAAAGTGCCACCTCCTAACTTTTTCTAATTACAGACCAGCTTTCAAAACCTCAGACCCAATCATACTGTCTGTGCTACACTCTTCACAGAAAGAAAGAAAAAAAAATAAAGTAATTATCTGATTTATCTGATTGAGGTAAACTGCAGTGTTTGGAGATAAATCCACAAAATAATATGTAGTTCTCTTCTAGGTTTTAAAGTATCTGACTACAGCAAATAGATTTTTGCATTTGCTGTCACTGTGTATTCTAATAAATGAGTTTGCTTGCTTGTAAAATAGTCACATTTTGATTTCCCTCTCCACAGACTGACAGAAAACACATCTCAAATTCATATTTAGCATATGTGTCTAGAGGCATCCAGCCAGCAACCAGAAACTAAATTCCATGTGTGCTGTGCACTCAGTCAAAATAACTTCAAAGAAATCTAAGTCTGTCACATTAAATCAAGAATCACAGAAATGTCGTGGGGAACTGCAATATTTGGTCAATTTTGTGAAGAGATAAATCACATTAAATCAATTCCTTTATGTCTGAGCATTCTCTCCTCTGCAGTTTGACTTGTGTGGAGATGCAGCTGTCATCATGAGCGCTGGAAGGTTGTAACTGCATAGATCCAGTTCTCATGCCTGTTTCAGAAGGGCTGCACTAAAACCCACTGAAGTCAGTAGATCTGCCTCATTGGCTCCAGTGGGCTTTAAATCAGCCCTTCCTCCCTGCCCAAGGAATGAACGGATCTTCCAGCTACTCAAAACATGACAACACTTGGTTTTTTTCATGCAACATTCAGTTTGAAGTGCTGTCTTGCAAAGTCATAGAGAATTTAGTGCAATTTAGATGGAATTTACTACATGAGCTGTATATGACTATTTACTCAAAAGAATTAGGTGTTAAAATGTGCAGTAGTTTTGAATTACTTAAGGGATCTTTTTTTCTGGTTTCTTTGCCTCTGAAAAGACACAGGCCTCATCAAACCACTGCTTGAATATGACCCTGGATACATGCCAGAGATAAAACAGGTGAATGGATTTGCACAAGGAAGGGTTATATTTGACTCGAGTCAACTTCATTCACGCTTTAACAAATTATTATAAACTGTCATATAAGACTTACAATAGGAAAGATGCATTTTGATAAAAAAATATGGATACAGTTCATCTGCAGAATGCAAACCTTCTGTTGATGTAGATGTGAGCTAGGGGGGAGCTTTGGACACTGAGCAGGATGGATCCATTCTGGCTCCTAGGGCGTGAGCGGTGGTTTGGGTGAGGAACAGGATCCCTGGCTGTCAAAACTGGTTGCTCGGCCAGGTAGCTGCAAGAAAAGTGTTATTGTTACAAATGTCATCACATCTGGCTGTGCATCACACTCATTTCAGAGAATGAGAGACTCTCTCAAAAAATAATCCAGATCACATCCAGACCCTTTCTAGACTCTGGATCAAAGCCCCCAGCAGAACTAATAATGGAAAGAAAATTTCTGAAGTGACCTTCTAAAAACGCTCTGACTCATTTCACAGGTATGGTTTATTTCACCAACGGGGGTGGCACCTCTGTCTCCTAACTTACATAGACCAGACAGAGCCATGAACCTCTAAAAGACACTTCTTTGACACAGTTTCCTTGCCCCCACACTCTTCTTGGTGATTTACTGAAGCCTTGATATGCTTTTGCTACCTCTCACAGGACATGTTATGTATCCATGTGCTACAGAGTGGGGGAATCACATGGCCTCAGGCAGCAAATCATTTTTCTACAGATTGCTTTTGTGATGGGCTAAACAGCCCCTCTGTGCCCCTGCTGCTTCCTAAGGCTTCAATATGTGTCTTCCTGAGTCCAGAGCTGTGAGGATTTTTGTGTACAGAGCACCAACAATGTGCGGCCACAGCAGATCGCAGAGGGAGTCCAAGCCCAAGGACTTGTAGATATAATCACTCCTACATTTGAAAAAGCTTCCAGTAAGCATCTGTTGAATAACTCTGGAGGGAGCTGCTGGTATGTTGCCACAATTTAGCCTAATTTTCAGGCCAGTTACAGATTAATGTTTTAGCAACAGCAGCTTATGCTAAAGATTTTTGAATAGGAAAAGATTGCTTTTGAAATTTTTGCAAATGATCTCTTCTAAGTAGCTGTAAGCTCTTTATCTCTGGGAATTTAAAATGCTTAAATGTAATCTTACAATGCCATCAGAGCATCATGGAAACTGTTGAAATGGCTCTTTTAAATGATAGATAAACCCATACAACTAGATGTAGGCTGTGCTAATGATCTTCTACCTGCTCTATAGGTGCTGCACTGATTTTCATGATTCTCAAAAGCCCATAAATGTGAGGGGCAAAGCTATTCAATATCAAGGAGAAAATTTTGCTACTTCTTACCTCTAGTAGTGGGTGCCAGTGAGTTATTGGTTTACGTGGGTAAGCCAACATTTCATTCCAGTGATCTCTTCCAAGGCCTTCGGCATCAATTCCTGTCCGGCATACTCCGATGACCTCATTGTGCCCTACTCTGAGAATTGCAGAGTGAGAAAGAATTAATTTTTAATAAAAAATAGTGTTAATAACATCTGATATACAATCCTCTTTACTGGTTTAGTGTGGCACAGAATACATGGCCAAAGTTTTCGCATCATTTATTACAGATATTAGTTGTAATGGTAGTGTAGTAATATTAAATTCTGTAATGGTAACATCAAAAACCTCCAGCCATGACCAGAGTGCTTCTAGCAGCTATAAAAATAGCAATGAAAACAATAATCTTTGCCATTAAAAGGTTACAACCCAAAGGACAGAAAAGGAGCATAATACACAAAATTATCTGAAGGAAAACACGCTTGAATTTTGTGAGAGAGGAAGGTGAGGGAAAATAGTGAGTAATACATTTCCTGCTGCAAATGCTTCAGACATAATTTCATAAACTATTTCCTAGCTCTAGCTGTTGTGATCTTTGGAAGTTCAGTCAAAATTGTGAAAGGTAAGAGTCATAGTTGTAATAGGCTATACCTTAATACTTCGTGCTCCTCACAGTGTCACAAACTGGTTGAGGAACACCAGAAAGTAATTTTCTGTACCTTGACTCTATGTACCTTAGAATAATGCTTTCCAATTTCCCCTTAGCAAGTTCTGGGAAGGGAGGAGCTGAGGAGGACTGGAAGTGTGCAAGCTGCTCTGCTCCTTCCCTGCTAATGGCACCACGGTGCCACTCTCACGTCTCAGTGAGAAAGTCTTCCTGGCAGAGCTTGGAGAACAACCAGAAATCTGATGGCAAGGGAAAACAATCTGAAGGGTGATGTTACTATATTGGACTTTCACTGTTTATTTGCCCTGCAATCTCAAGAGCTCATTACTAATTGCACTTGAATGCAGCAGACTTGGCTTGGGCAGGATTCTGTCAGTCATAGTCTTGATCAACCTGCAGTCCTTGAGCCACTCTAAGCAGGAGTCTTTTCCTGTCAGTTCTCAGTGAAGCCATAGATAATTAGCCTAAGACAAGTTATCAGTGAGTGCTGAACCCAAAGGTTCCATATTGAGGGTTACACATTGAAAGGTTATTTTACTGAATCAACCAAAGAGATAATTAACGACTTAGTTCAATGATATAATTAGCATTTAATTCCTTTTTAGTCATTGAAATTTTATTTAGTTTCAAATACCTGCTATTTAAATAGAAATTAGAGGTGTGAGGGACTTTTTTAAGCTAGAAGACATACCTGATTTATAAAGTTTGTACATAGTGCAGCCCCCAGAAATGAGCAGGAATGTATGTCAGGCCTAGCGGCCTGGGAGAAAATTGAGCCATATTTCTTCCTCATCTCAGTCATTTATGACACAGATGAAAAGCCATGTGCTTTAAAAGGTGTGGAAGCTTTGAACTTCTTCATGAAAAGGCCCCAAGGTTTTATCTTTTGTGACACTGAAGCTGCTCATAAGCTCAAGGCAGAAAGCAGTCACTTGCAGTGATCAGGAATTGTCTCTGGTCAGAACGTGAACTGTGCTTACCTGTCATAATCCATCACTGCAATGGAGAGGCTGACCTGGTCCACGTTCTCTGGAGGGATATCAAAGATGATGGCCTCATTATAAACAGGATTCAGTGTGTTCTTCTTTGTGGTTGTTTTCCTCTTTTTCAGCCTCCGTCCCTCGCACATCAGCGACACTTTGACGTACGGATCTGAGTAACAGATATCCAGTTCATGCATTAGGACTCAAAGCCATTCAAATGGTAGCATAAGGACGATATTTGTGGTAGGAATGTTACACTGCTAAGGTAAAAGGTTGCAAAGATTTGAGTGGCCCTGGAAAACTCTGCTTTCATCATGCTGTAAATGCAAAGGAAAGGTACAGCCATTCCGAACAGACGCGCTGGCTGCCAGTCCATCCAAACAGGGTCTGTGTTCATTATCTGCTACTTCCATCCCACAGCCAGGTTAGACACACAAAACCCAAGGAGCTCTTACTCATCCCCTTCCTGAAAGGACTCTGCCTTTTTAAAAAGAAATAGATTCACCTGATGCACCAGTTATATCCATCGCTTTGAGATTCCGACATTTGATGACTGTCAAAGTCATTCTCCCAGCAGTAGGCAAATAACAAAGGGAAAACATGATCTCACCCAAATCTATGCTTTCCTGAAAAAGAATAGCAATTATTAGAAACCTGATCATGCTACCCAAATTCAGTTCAGATCATGCAAAACTGTAATATTTTTTTTAACACGGAGAGAGGCTTCTTTTGCAGCCTCAGATGCTTCTGAAGAAACCACCACAAGCAATTTTCAAAAATTATTTCTGTAAAGTACAGGAGGAGTAACAACTAAATAATAGTTTAGAGACAAGATCTTCAATTACTAAACTGAGAAATTAAAAAACAAAATCAGAGACAAAACTTTCTGGATTCCTGATATTTTTGTGTTGAATTCACACAAATGAAAAGGTGCTGAAAGTAGAATGTCGAGTTCTGCTCTTGAAAACGCTCATAGTCCATCAGCACAAATAGAAAGAAATCTGATGGAATATTTAGATCATGCACATTTACATGCCCTTTAGATGCTGGAATTTATGTAGGAGAATAATTTCTGCACAGATATGTGTTTAGAAAGCTAGTCCTGTCAAAGTGCTTCAAAAAGAAGAACATGCTCATAAAAGTTGCTCTCTTTGCTGCTCTCAATGTGCTTTGAGAGATTGTTCTGTTTCAGAAGAAAAGCAAAGTAAAGGAGTAGCACCTACAGCTTTTCTGGATCAACAACAACTTTTTGGAGGACAATATACTCAGAAGGATGGATAGGTCCCATATAAATTTTAATAACAGTTTCTATATCAAGACCATGATAGTTAAATAAGATGTTGCCATACAGTTTAGATACTACAATACTTGAGGTGTGTAACCTAAGGGAGTTTCTACCAGTTCTTATTTTTTCCTTTTCTCAGCTATACAATTATCCTAGCACTGCAAAAGTTTACGTTTTGAGATGTTTGTTATGTTCTAAATTTTTCCTGTTCTAAATTTTAATTACATCTACCTCCCGACCCTCCAAAAAATTGCACATTAAGAACTTAGGATATGAGTTTGTAAGGGGCGTGTAAGGAAGCCACTCTGTAAGGCAGCCACTCTCAAGCATGCTCATGAGATCTCAAAGGACTTTTATTTTTGGACTAATACTAAAAAGCATATTTTTAACTTCTCAGCTTCAGTATTTTATCTGTCTAACCTACAGTTACCCTGAGAGCACAAATTTGTTTGAGAGCTGCTGGATTTACTATACAGCTGTTCTAGCATCAGAAGGGAAGGCAAACATAATGTATTTTTAAATGAAACATATTAAAATAATGATTGCTGTGTCGATGAAAAATATATTGTTTACTGTTACAAGACAAGACTGGGCTACTTGTTCACTTGTTCACTTGTTCACATTCTTCAGCTGCTGTGAATAGTTTTATTGACTTCCTTCAGGCTAATACTCTGTCTAAATTGAAACAAGTATTTCACATCTTTCTTGAGTAAAGATGAACTTAATCACATGCTTCGGGGTGTGAGGTTTTTGTATTTTGTTTTGTTATTGTTTTTTTCCCCCTGCATTGCAGACTAGATTGAAGAATACACTTTTGGAATAGCTTTAAAGTCTCTGTTGCAGTGGTAATAAAATATTGACTTTTCTGCAGGTTGGTCAATTCACAAGTTCAGTCATTTTGCTGGGATTTTGTTCTGACAATTACTAGTTTGATAAGCATGTGAACATGCACTGTGGGCAAATTTCATGCTTGTCAGAATTTCAGATTTCTCAGAATTTCAAAATGATTAGGCTCACTCAGTTCACATGGGACAAATACAGCTATTGGACCTCTCCCTTTCTTTGCTACAAAGTGTGAAGAATTTTGTGCCAGGGACTAAATTACCAAACCCAATTTTCTATTTCAGAAAACAAATAAAATTTGAACAACTGAATGGTAATTATTTCCACTCATTTGTTACAGTGGCAAGTGATGTATTAAATTTTACTGTTCTGACATATGTGAACAGTTGCAAGCAGAGCTTCTCCTACTTGCATTGCTCTCTGAGTTTAGAGTCTGATGGTTGTTTTTCATGTCCATATATCAAACAGATCTCATTCTTTTGTTTGAAAAGAAAATAGAGTTCCCTGAGTTTCAGTGCTTCAAAGTTACCTGAGGCCTGTGTAGAGAAAGGTGATGAAGATGGGTTGGATCATGAAACACCATGGGTAGCTCATAAAAAGATCTATTTTTTTCTTCTTCAGAGAGATGGTTTGTGTAGGTGAATAGAGAAAAAATAATTTTTGAAGACAGAAGTATGAACTTGAGTGTTCTATTATTTCTTTTTGAAGAGGAATTGGGTAGACACTCAAAGGTTTGTGTGAGCTCAGCTGATAAAGCAGAATACAGACAATGTACTAATATTTTAAAATACTTTGAAAGAAGCATTGCTCAAAATGCTTGCCAAACTCACTCTGTTGTTACTCTGCATTTTTGAGGGGCAGAGAAAAAGTAGTTTCTGCTCTGAGGATCTGCCAAGACTGGTGATCTTTTTTCATACAAGAGTGTGAATTTGTGAAGTTCTAAATGTTCATTGGAAGAATTAAGATTAAAATGGTACCTACATAATTATAGTATAAGAAAATGGGTATTGCAAAATGGTCTGAGATATCTCATTTTCATACACACACTTTTATTGTCAATTTGAGTACTAGAAATTCATAAATTTGGAACTGAAAACACAGATTCAGACCTAGATTATAAACATTGTTTATAATGTTTATAATAACTTTGGTTTTTTATGTGTTTTTTAAACTTCTCATGACAGTCTTTGTTAATCACATTAATTATCATGAGTAGCATTTTAAAATTCCCTGGATCCTTAAACATTATTAATTTTAGTTGAGATTTAAATATAGCATTCAATTTAATTTAGAACCTCAGTGCTATGGAAAATTGATGTGTTTTTTCCCTTTATAATTCACTAGATAATTAAGTTGACACAAGTAGTCTGACAGGAGCCCTTCAGTGCAAGCAAACCTGAAAAACCAAGGCACAGACTGCCCCCAACAACCACATCTGCATCACAGTGTGCCTCAAACAAAACACAACTCACAAGACACAATCCAGTGGTTGTGGTTTGTGCATATTTTAAAATAATCCTCAGATTGCCTTACATCTATCACGTATTTCATGAAAATTGCACATGACTTAAGTCCCATGACACTTCATCTTTTTCATAGACTTATTTTGATTTTTTCTTTTTCTTCTTGAACTAAATTTAGGTTTGAATGTTAATGCCAGCTTTATGGATTCTTGTAATGATTGCCTCACACTGGCTTCCAATAACAGGTACAGAAAAACCAGCATCGAGCACAGCTGCACTTATGCAAATGGAAGCTTCTGTTGACACCTCAGATCTCTCCTTCACTTATTTCCCTGTGAAATATTTCCCTTCTGTACCCACCAGCCACCGCACAGCAATAAGGACCTGAAACAGTGCCCAGAACTCTACTAGCTTCAGCTACTTTCAAAGCTACCCTTTTACCTCTACCCCACCCATTTTCTGGTTTGGTGGGTCTAGAACAAAACAAAACAAATTTTAAAAAATGGTCTCACATGCACATACCAGTTATTCTGCTGAACTTTGTGGGTTTTGAGCTACAGAATGCAGATTTTTAAAATTAGCATAATTCTCATCCCACGTTAGTAACCACGTGAATGAATGTGCTAATAATATTTTTCCATTACTTCCATTAGCATGGATCCATTAGGATCCGTCCACATTCTCTGCTTTGTGGGCTCCTGGGAAATTAGTCCAGGAGTTGGCACAGTCAGAAATAAAAAAAATTCTTATTCTAGTCTATTTGTTATCATACCCAATGGACACCAGTGCTCTCATTTCCACACACGTCTGTAAAAATTGCAGCATTTCTACAGAGGCTGTGCTCCCCACTCACAATATGGATAAAAGGGAAGGGATATGAAGAGAAGTCTGGAGAACTTGTAGGGGAGCATCAATTAAACTGATTGAGGTTTTTGAACTGCTGTTGCTGGAAAAAGCTTTGCTGCCAATTAATTTTCTCAGTAGTCTCCACAAAATTCAATGAAAGAGACAATTTTAACTAGGAACCCCCACAAGTTCAGTGGGGAAGGTGGCTATAGATCCTTCCATGTTCAGGGTGGTTCTACTCAGGTATCAACCCCCATAACTCTGAAATTGAACTATTTATTCCCTGTACTGATACTTTCTATAACTTTCATAGTCTCCCTCTTCTGTGCCAACATCTTAAATGATTTCCTATGACAGCAGGGGTGAAAAGCTTATAGGGACCTGATATATGAAAAAAGGTGTCATTACTGAGTCACAAGGGAACTTTAGACCATTTTTTCACTGATGTTTGTTTCCTACTAATTTCCATTAATTTTTCAAGCTTTGAAATTCAAACAAAATCTTAAAACAGCAACTTGCTCTCTATTCTTACAATGAACTATGTAAGTGCTGCAGGAACTGGAAAATTTACATGATTTTGTTGTTACTTGTCTGTCATTAATTTCCATGGTTAAAATAACAAGTATCTGCATAATTAGTAGTGCAGTAGAAATTAGATTCCCTCAAAAAAATTACTTGTTGCTACTTTATTTATCATTCATATTATCATAATCCACAGTAACAATTCAGTTCTTATTTTAATATATGGAACTACTTTCCTACTAATTGTAATTGGAATGATGTTTTAAAGACTGCATGTAAGAGTAGCACAACAAAAATACTAATGGCAGCATGAATTCCATTTGTACTTGATTTCTAACCAAATTAATTGCAAATTTCATTCTCAGTTTCCCTGCTGTATTTTGAGCAAGTCACTGTAATAAATAATAACAGTAATTTTCTAGCTACCTAAGAAGGTATTCAAGCATTTGGTTCTCTAGACTTTTAGCTGTTTCCTTTAGTAATGCTGAAAACTGTTCTTCTGTATTGTGTGTAAATTTAAAGAAAATTTAAATTTAAATGTAAAGAAAAATGCGTTGGCAGAGTGAGACCTTTGGATTACTCAAATATTGCAGGAGAATAATTCCCCCATAGCACAGACTTCTCTTTCTCTCTTTAGAAACATATTATATATATTTCTGCTTTGCAG